TTTGAGATGCTTTGACTCTCCAAGTTGAAATGGCTTATAATTTAGGATGGAGGGAGTATATTATATCAAATTAAAACAAACAAAATATTATTTTCTACATCATCCGTTCCAAATTATAAGTCGCTTTAACTTTTTTTGGTACACCCATTTTATTATGCATCTAAATATAATATATGTCTAGATACATAGCAAAGTGGATATGCCAAAAGTCAAAGTGACTTATAATTTGGAACGAATGGAGTAGAAAAATATTGAAAATATTTATTTCATATACTTAACTTACCCGTCTCCTTATACTAAACTTAAGAGTCTGTTTGGTTGGTGTCTAAACTTACTACACCTAACCTTAGGCCCGAACCAAGCATGTTGAAGCTGCCAATAGACGACTAATGACGCCTGGGCCGGCCGCCCGACTTCCATCGAAGCACGCCTGTGAACTCGAAGGTCTTATTTTCCTCCCTGCCACTGTCTTCCTCCTAGATTAGAACCCCCGCAGTGTACGTGAACATTGATGCCCCAAATGAAAATGTTACATCAACATATAAATGGATTTCAGACTTGTAGGCTGCAGTGTTGAAGCATAGTTTCACAGGACCCACTATGCAAATAGAAAGATGTTCTAGCATGGCACGATTGGTTGAGGCAATACATCCAAAGGAGTTAGACTATTCAGATTATTCACGTCACAGAGATTCAAAAAAGAGAAACAATATTTTACTTTGTGGCATTGAGGCTAGTAGGAGCGTCGAGGCTCCAAGCATCGCCCTCGGAGCGTGCAAAGCATCGACGATTCTTCTTCTCTCATTTCACGGGGAGCATCATTTTTTTCCAACACCGCGGGCACCGACATATTCCTAAATAAAAAGAAAAATAACTCATGAAACATATATCATATACTCTTATAAAGTTAAACCTCACTAGATGATTTTTCTCTTCATGCAAGGTGTCCACATCATTTCTCACTAAGTGATTCAACTAAAAGTTCTATCTCTTCATGCAAGGTACCCACGTCATTCTCCACTAAGTCCATGTCATCCCTTATTAATTACAAAAAATATCCACGTCATCGCTATCATGTGCAATACTTTTAATCTTTAATTTTCTCTTCATGCAAGGTGTCCACATCATTTCCCACTAAGTGAACCCACTAGATGTTCTATCTCTTCATGCAAGGTGTCCACATCATTCCCTACTAAGTTCATGTCACCCCTATCACGTGCAATACTTTTAATCTTTAATCTATTGACATAAAAGTCATCTACATCTACATACGCTATTTATTTCATCACCTATTCATCTAAATCTCACTAGATGATTTCTCTCTTCATGCAAGGTGTCCACGTCATTCCCCACTAAGTCCATGTCATTCCTTATTAATTACAAAAAAAATATCCACGTCACCGCTATCATGTGCAATACTTTTAATCTTTAATTTTTCTCTTCATGCAAGGTGTCTACATCATTTCTCACTAAGTGAACCCACTAGATGTTCTATCTCTTCATGCAAGATGTCCACATCATTCCCTACTAAGTTCATGTCACCCCTATCACGTACAATACTTTTAATCTTTAATCTATTAACATAAAAGTCATCTGCATACGCTATTTATTTCATCACCTATTCATCTATAGTAATGAAATCAAATAATTTATTGGTTTTTCTTCTATTAGCTTATCGATTTTTTAGCAGATCTGATACAATAAAATAGCATGCAAGTCAAATTGTATATATACATAATATAGAATACCATATAGTATGTTATGTATATAATAGATTTATTTTTAAGAAAATCCCACGACAACGCGTGGATATGCTTCAAGTATAAAAGAATGAGAAAGTAAGAACTTAACTTCCATCTACGTATATGTGACACTAAAGGTACAATGCTTATAAATAAGTAGAGTGCGTCATTATACAGGATAGCGTTCAAGCACCCAAATAAGGGGTGGGCATTTGGTTCTAGGTTCGGTTCCTCGGTTATTGATGAAATTCGGTTCCTAGAAAATAAGAATCGACCGGTTCAAAGAAAAACTGAGTATTTTGGTTTTCGATTATTTCAATTCGTTTTTTGGTTCTAACCGAATTTTTTAGCGGGGGTTAAAACAACACCAAAATATATAGGTTTTAAAGCAAATTTAGACGACACTATCTCTATTTTAAACAATAATAATAGATAAGATAACAATAGCAATAAAAGCAACACAAATACATAGCAACTCAATATGAGACTTCACAAATAAATCGAACATAGTCTTATAAAATATAAGTAAGTGAATTCGGTTAATCGATTATCTGATAGTAGGAATCGAAATTTCCTCGGTTATTTTGGTTAACCGAATATGGAATCGATTTTTTCGATTTCGGTTATTTTGGTTTGGTTTTCGATTTTTGGTTAAAAATGTCCGAGCCTACCCAAACCATCTGTTTTGTTTTAGATGCCTGAGCCTATACGCGCCGCTAGTCCCAGACGTACTTCACTAGAAAAATGTTTTTTTTTTGCAATTTCATGAGAAAATTTTCCAGCTTCATGACCAAATGTTTCATGTTTAGGAGAAATTTATTCCGGCATAGCAAGAGACTTTGTTCCAATGTCACAATAAAAACGTTCCAACATCACCCGGAAAAACTACAGATTGAGATAAAAATGTTTATTTGAAATAAAAATATTATAAAAGAAATCAGACCACAATTTAAAAAGTCCAATAACAAAATTTACCCTAGGCTAGTTATAGAAAAGGGAAAATTATTACTAGTGGATATTAAAACAAATATAATTACTAGTTACAAGTTATGATAATGTAGGTGTCGGGTTCATAAACCCGGGGTCCTCAATGGGCTCACTTCCCAGTGAAAACTCGGCCCAGCAGACGGCGTAGCGACAACGCGCGCCTCCTGAACCGGCCCAGTTACCTAACGGCCGGCCAGGAGAAAGATCCGGTCTCTGACCGAAAAGCTTGACCAAGGAGGAGATATAGTCCGATTCCGACCTCTTTTTTCGACCGTGAATACACCGGACCTTCGCTCGGGATTCTTCCCTGACCGACACGGTCGGAGCCGACCGAGAACGACCTACCGGGGACGCCCGCTCGATAAGGAACCAAGGATCCGGCGGAGCAGATAAGGTAAGGCGCTCAAGTCAACCGTAATATCAAGGATCTTACCCTATCATACCCTGCACACCTGCAGAGCAGTGCCACCAGGCCATGCTAGACGGGTACTATTCAACCTTCCAGGCGTGTCAGAACCCAAACAGTGTTGTGGCCGCCGATATTTGCCTTACAGTTTTGTAGGCGTCGATATTTACCATGCCAGGCGAACACGGTAAAACCTGCCAAACACGTCTGGGCATGACCAGTATTGTGGGCGTCAACAATCATCTCGTACCCGATGGCGTGAGCAACAAGACTAGATAGCACACGTACACACTCTATCTCTCTAACTTGTAAGGCCATCTCCATTCATCTATAAAAAGGGGATACAATCTCTCTCAACAGAGACGGTCGTTCAGACTCTCTCCGGCTGGCTCTAGACAATCTGAGCATTCGAACAGCTCTGTAGCTCTAGAACTCTAAGGCTACACAGAGCATACGCTCCAATACTTAGCGTACGCTAGAGCTCCCGTCACTCTTGGCCCTTCGGTTTAGAGTCTAACCGGACCTTTAACACCCCCTTCTTATTCCCACTCGTTTGTAATCCCACAACAAACTTCGAGCACCCGGACTCAGGAATAAAGTCACCGACCAACTGAAACTGGACGTAGGGCACGTTGCCTGAACCAGTATAAATCATGTGTCATTGAGTGTTAGGCCACATCTGATCACAATGCACGATAAAACTACGAATATTTACTTGTTGATCATTTTTCGCACCATCGGTAGCAAACAGTTGGAAGCAAAATAAAAGCAGAAAAAAAGGAAAAGAACAACCAAGTGGACGAAAGAAAAAAGAAAAAGGGAACGGAGAAAGGGTGAGCCAGTTTCATGGGCCGCTTTCTGACTCTCTAGTCATGCGCGTGCATAAATCGGCCCAGTAGTCCGCGCGAGCGCGGAGAAGCAAGCTGTAAATAGCCCCGGAATCGGCACATGCGCGGGCCCCACTCCACAAGCGACAGAAGCCCCATCCGCAGCCGTACACTCCTGAATCGGACGGCCTGCCGCGCATCTCGCCCGCCCGCGGCGCCGTTGCCCGAACCGAACCCTACCCTGTCTGCGTAGCTCTTCTCCGGTTCACCTCGCGTGCGCGAGCGGCGAGCCAACTAGGGCGACCGCCGCCGCCCTACGCCCAGCTTACCAGGTCTTCGTCGGGGCTTTGCCGGCGACGAGAACCCACACCAGGTATGTCCGCTCCTTCTCTTCCCTTGTTGCTGTGCAAAATTGAGCACCCGAACCCTAACTTCTATTTGCCTATTGTATGCGGATCTGATATAATCACAAGTTTTGTACCTACTAACTTCGTTTTTTTATCGGGGTGTAGCTGTACATGTGTACACTCATGTCCCTTATTGGGTTCGCCTCTGATTTGATGTATCCAGATCCTACTTATGGGTTTTCAGGCCATCATATCTAGATGCTTTTTATGTCCTTGTAGTGGGAGATAGTTTTGTCTTATTCCTTTTTATGTTCACTTCTCTAGGATTCATGTATGAAATGTTTACATACCTGCACTAATTGCATCAATGCAATGTCCTTCAGCTGCGTTGATTATATTGTAGTTTTTCTTTTCCTGCTTTCCTTGGATAGGAATCTCACTGTCCCTATCCCTGCTCCATGGATACATATCTTGGAACATGATGTATGGCCAAAATACGAAGTAGGCTAGTAGGTAGTAGCTGCAATCTTTCAAATAAAATGCTGAGTGTGGAATTTGCTAAACGCTTTTCTAATCTCTGGCAGTGGCATGTTAATTGATCTGATGTAATTATGTGTTTATTTGTTACTTGCATTTGTTGAAAGCACCTTTTATTTTCATCTTCCCTTACAATATTTGTATTTTCAGGATAATGGCTCGCCGTGGACACCTGGATGGACTGACTGCCCAAGCTCCAGCTCTGATGCGCCATGGTTCCTTCGCTGCAGGCAGCCTCTCTAGCCACTCACCTTTGCAGTCTTCATCCACACTGGAGATGCTGGAGAGCAAGCTTGCCATGCAAACTGTAGAAGTGGAAAAGCTTATCATGGAGAATCAGCGGTTAGCATCAAGCCATGTGGTCTTGAGGCAGGACATTGTTGATACGGAGAAAGAGATGCAAATGATCCGCACCCACCTAGGTGAAGTTCAGACAGAGACTGATTTGCAGATTAGAGATTTATTGGAGAGAATCAGATTAATGGAGGCAGACATACATAGTGGTGATGCAGTGAAGAAGGAGCTTCACCAAGTGCATATGGAGGCAAAGAGACTTATTACTGAAAGGCAGATGCTAACCCTTGACATAGATAATGCGACTAAAGAATTACAGAAATTCTCTGCCTCTGGTGATGGTAAAAGCCTTCCTGAATTGCTTGCTGAGCTAGATGGGCTACGGAAAGAGCATCATAATTTACGGTTTGTGACAATGTTCCTTCCTTACATTTTTTGCAACTGCCTGAGCTTTGTGTTAATATGTCTGTGTTTTCCCTTTCCATTGGAAGATCTCAATTTGAATTTGAGAAAAATACAAACATCAAGCAAGTTGAGCAGATGCGGACAATGGAAATGAACCTGATAACCATGACTAAACAAGCTGAGAAGTTACGTGGTGATGTGACAAATGCTGAAAGGCGGGCACAGGGTAAATATTCTCATCCTCTTGATTTGGGCTGCAAGCTATCCTCATTCCTGTAATTGTTAGGTTTTGAGTTGAACCTTACTGGGCTGTACTATTAGATGGGAGCAGTATTATTTCTATTCCATCTGTTTTGTGTTTAGTTTGTGAAGACTACTAGGTTTTTTTCCTAGTAGTGTGAATCTCAAAACTGCTCGTTCATAGGTTTCCCATCTGAATCCTGATTTCCCTACTTTCAACAGAATATGCAGTGTGATATTATCATTTGTAGGTCTTACCGTCTTAGTAGGAGCGGAGGGTAGTGGAGGTGAATCTGGGCCTCCGCATAGAAGTTCCATGGCCCATAGATCCCCAACAGGCTGAACTGCAGGCCTATTTAATGTCTCACCATGGATTACTGTTGTAATGAGCAATTTGGCTCCCTTACTACACCATTAAGGTCTTGGGTTAATGACACGTGGGTTGCATGTATTTGGAGATAGTGTAAAGTGTCCGTAGTGGATAGTCTCTTGTACAGGAGGGACAGCATCATGGTCTAGATTTGCAGACATAAATCAGAACAATACTTTATGAAGTATGATTAATTTTAATCCTTTATCAAGTTTTTGCCCATTGTGTGCTGCAGAGCACAGTTGGGGTTGGTGGTGGGGGGGTGGGGGTGTTGCTGACCAACGGAAAAAATCATTAGTCAACAAATGAAATAAATGTAGTTCTCATGAGTCATGAGTGCTGACCTTTCTAATTTAAAAATGCAATACAATATTACAGTTACATACATATTGTTTTCGAAAAGTCAAGTTGGATATCCAGTTTGACATTTTTTTAGAAGAGTGGATATAGGAACAAACTGAATCTATTGTTTATCATTCCACATTCTGTGTTAGTAGCTTAGTACAATGTGGAGTAACCACTGCCATTGTATTGACTGGTTCTCATTATAGTTCATTGTTGTGACACAGTATAAATACATAGCTATATTTTCCTCTGGAAATGAATAATTGTGTTGTTTACAGTCTAGAAAGGTAGGCATAAGTTACATATCAATCCTCTGAAATTGTCCATGTTTTTATTGCACTTTAGCGCATACTAATCTATCATTAGCAATATGGCACCAAAAGTGATTGGCCTAAACTAAGCTTCAACTTATCTAGCAAATTTGCGACCTGATTTCTGTGGTGCAGCTTAACTGGAAGCTTTTGGTAGCTGACATGTGAGTGATAGGTTTTCTTTTTCAAACTTACCTGAGGAGATCTTGCCTAAGCTTTGCCAATTTTTATATCACAAGCATTTTATTTTGGGCTTAAATATCATAGCTGCATATAGGACAATAGCAAACTGCTCTGTAGCTCAAGGCCTCTAATGTAATAGAGAGAAAACCTTTGCATATGCAATTTATGAGAAACTGAAATGATTAATTTTCTGTGTATGTGTGCATGATTTTTCTCGAGATATACATGCACATATTTTACTCGTTAATTGCATAATACCATACTCTAATATTTTATTTCCATCCTTTTTCTCAATGAACAGCAGCTGCGGCTCAAGCAGCGGCACATGCAGCTGGTGCACAGGTGACAGCTTCGCAGCCTGGGACAGCTCAAGCTACAGCGGTTTCAGCAGCAGCTACAGACCCATATGCAGGTGCATATGCCAGTTACCCCTCGGCATATCAGCAGGGAGCCCAGGCTGGGGCATATCAGCAGGGAGCCCAGGCTGGGGCATATCAGCAGGGAACCCAGGCTGGGGCATATCAGCAGGGAGCCCAGGCTGGGGCATATCAGCAGGGAACCCAGGCTGGGGCATATCAGCAGGGAACCCAGGTTGGGGCATATCAGCAGGGAACCCAAGCTGGGGCATACCAGCAAGGAAACCAGGCTGGAGCATACACCTATGCTTATGATGCTGCCACGACTTACGCATATGCAGGTTACTCTGGCTATGCAGTTGCTGGCTATGCGCAAAGTTCAGTGCCCAATTATTCCTATGCCGTACCTCCGCAGCCAAGCAGCGGTGCAGCTACAGACGCCGCAAGCCTGTATGGCGCAGCTGGTAGTGCTGGATATCCTACTGGGCAAGTTCAGCCAAGCAGTGCCACTGCAAATGCAGCGCAACCACCTCCACCACGGCCGACAGCACCATATCCTAGCACATATGACGAACCCAGAGGAGCCCAGAGGTGAAATCTGGGATCTAAAACCAGATGGCTGTTTTGTAGATTGATTACTGGTTCAGTTATGTAGATTCAGTCATGCCCCTTTTGTAGATTGATTACTGGTTCAGTTATGTAGATTCAGTCGCGGATAGCTTAATTGACATGATGGAAGAGTTGATGTATGCTCAACTGTTGGTACATGGGTTGATTGGATTAGCTGTTGGTTAAGGATGATTCGGTTAGCAATGCGGCATTAATAAACCACAAAAAAAGTGTAGCGTCGTTATTCAGTATTCTTTTATATCATCTTTTTGCAAGTATAGTGTAGGACTGTAGGTTATGGTTTGTGTATATGCTGATGTAGTCAGGTCCAAAGTCAATTGGCTTTAATGGCTTCCTAGAGAGGTATTTTGTGGCATAGAGACAGGCCTCTTCTTACATCGGACCTTCAGATTCTGAAAAATCCGTAGACGCTGACTTGTTAGTAAACCAACCAAAACCCTACAAATCTGAAAAGTCCGTTAGACGCTGGCTTGTTAGTAAACCAACCAAAAGCCTACACGCAAAGATGCAGCGCTATGCTGAGAACCTGGGTATAGTTGCAGGCCCTTCCTTTTTCTTCATTAGATTAGATGTTTGAATATTTGCTACTATATAGCTGTAACCGTTGTTGGATCTGGTAGCATCTCTGTTTTTGCCATATATTGCATTGATATTGTTAGGAACAGGATGGCATGGAGCTACTGTATGCACGTCACCAAAGAATATGAAAATTGTGAATATAATAATAACTAGTAAGATGCAGCAGCGTGTGATTTTCCATGACCACTTAGCGCCTATGGTCCCAGCGCTTAAAGTCGTTTTATTGTGCTTTTGCCGCTGACACTAGTTTCTTACTACCTCTGCCCGGGGGAATTTTTTTTGCAACTCTAGAGGGCCGTTTGGATCTTTCATTTGGAGGAATTGAAATCTACCTAATAAACAAGGCTATTTGGTTTAGAATTTGACATTCCACCGCTTTTTAAAAGTTCACATATAAACCTATCTCAAATTTATAGAGTGGTAGGAGATGGAAATTGATTCTATAGATTATTATACTATGTTTCTACTTTACAACTTATAACACACTCTTCAACTCACTCCCATACAGTAAAAATGTAACACATTTTATCTCTCTCGTATAGCCAACAATAATATACAAATATAATCCATATACACCCATATTAGCTTAATTAATATGTTTAAATTATGACTATTAAAATGAATTCAATTCCAAGGATCCAAACGTGGCCTAAATGTTTTTTTTAAAGTGTCTAAAGTTTACTAACCATATACTTAAAATACGAATGTCTACAACGCCAAACGAATATATTATTAAAATATATCTTATGACAAATCTAACTATACTTATTTAATATTATAACTATTTATAATCTATATCTAATAATAATCTATACCTAAAATTTCAGCCCATCTTTTTTCGTCCACCTCCTTCTAACTAACTTTGTGCCGGTTATAGCTCTCCTGATTTATATGGTAGGTTCGGGATTGCTACGAATCCAAATCCAAATCCAAATAGAACTCTGCGGTATCAAACAAACTGAATAGGAATCCTAATATCTATCTAACATTTCTATCTATCTATACCAAATATTAAGCCTACGATCATGACTAACCTAAATAGAAATCCTAACCCAAATAAATATATATCTGCCTATATATTTTATTATAATATATCTTTTCTTTCTACCGTGTTATCTTTTTTTCAATTCCATTTTCACACAGCCTCCTAAAAAATATTGCTCCAATCGCCCATAAATACAAGGTATCCTAGGATGGATTTTAGGTGAAGTTAAGGGAGGTAAGAAAAGTCAAATGTACCCCCACATCAAAGTAAAGTGTACAATCTCTGATTTGATTGGCGTATATACGAGGAAAGAAAGAGGTGGGAGATATACATTATAATTAATAATGATGGAGTCTTAGTTTATACCAATATAATAACCAAAAAATCAAATCATTATCATTTTTTTCAAAAGTTAAGCAATAAATCAATATTTTTTTTGCCTATACGCTATCTCCACCAAAAATTGCATTGTGGAGTGGTTATACAAGATAAGTAGAAGAGACACACGTGAATCGTTAAGTTTTGTTTGTCTGATCTCTACTTTTGAGTATGGGAAGAAAGTGCTTTGGATGAATTTCCAAAAATAAACTATATTTTCTAAAAAAAAAGTAGTATATACTAATATTAAGGTATGGGGTTTTTAATCATTTGCTCTCTCCCGTACTTTTACGGGTTAGAGCAGTGTGTCAAGACATGATAGGAAGTTTGATTCCAATATAAATTGAAACACATGACCCAATCAATAGATAAATGTTCAAGCGTCCTTTGCCTATACGAATGCGAGTAGAGTTTGTTGTCACATGTTATAAAGTTTGGTTCTAAGATGAATAAAAACACATGACGTAATAGTTGAATAAATCGTCTGAGCTTCATGTTGTTTAAGTGATTATAAACTATACATCTCGTAGCAATGCACGGGTATTATTGCTAGTATATATATAATTGAGATATTTTAAACTGCTAATGCGTTAGACTTGCAATTTTTTTCACGGAGGGAGTACATACACAAATTCAGAAACAGTGACAGTTTTTCTTTGGAAATTCGTGTTTTCTGCTCGTCCTCCCTCCCTCCAGGCTCCAGAGCCTGCTGCGGTCCTCTCCATGGCCTGGATCTGGATGGTCCCCGTCCCCGTGGCGGGAGCCGTGCTCCTGTGGGCGAACTCTCTGGGGCGGATCCTCTCCTACCCCGCGCCGTCCTGTGTGCCCCCGAGCCTGCAGTTCATGCCCCCTCTCCGCGACGACAGGAGGAGCCGGAACGTGCTGCTGGTCGTCGCCCACCCCGACGACGAGTCCATGTATGCTACTTCTCCTTGTGTTTTGAATGCCCAATTGCCATGTCTGTGAAACATCTTCTTAGTTCTCGTTTGCTATGTTGCTTCGTTCTTATTGTTTTATTATCATCTTTTGTGTTGCTACAGGTTCTTTGCTCCAACCATTCTTTTCCTCAAGTCAAAAGGTCACAATATTCACATTCTGTGCATGTCTCGAGGTTAGATGGCAAGCAACTGACGCTGTATGTTTATTTATGTTGCCCTATATATTTGTTCATCTGAGTCCAGCGCCGAACAGGAATGGCCAATGCCCAATTGGCCATTGTAATGTCTGCTAGGATGCATCATAAAATCGTCATAGGCAACCATGATGTCTGCTTACTTTATGCTTGACAGCACAGATCAGATATTCATCTCTGATGCATGCATGGTGCTTAAACATTCAGTGTCACCGTGTATACATGTTTTTTAGTGAATTAATAGCCAATGAAGTAAAAATAGTACCCCACACATCTCAAGCGCTATGGAAGCTTTTAGCAGTAAGTATAATAGTATTTTTTAACCGTGACATTTGAACAACAATCACTAAGAACTAACTTACTCCTTCCACAGGTAATGCTGATGGTCTCGGAAATACTCGTAAAGAAGAATTGTACCATGCCTGTGACACCCTTAAGGTACTCAGATTGTTAACTAGCTCATTTTACCCTCAAAGAGCAAGCTTTGTACAGTTGCTGAATCCGCTCATGTCATTACAGATTCCACATGAACAAGTTAAAGTCTTGGACCACCCGAAATTGCAGGTACTCTGTTTTGAGTCCATACTTGCATACTTGTACATACTGTCTCAAAAAACATCTGATCTTGACCCTATACATTTCACAGGATGGATTTCATGAGAAATGGGGCCATGGGCTAGTAGCAGAACTTACTATGGAGGATGTCCAACTATGGGCCATTGACACGGTAGCGGCTACATCTTAGAGACCTTATGAACTTCAAAATACATGACATTTTAAGTATTTTTTCATTGAACACGCAGGAGAGTTGTGTATCATTAATATCATTATGGGGATTAGAGCCCCGCACAGTTCATACACATACCTAAAAGGGCGTACCTAGTGCAGAGAGCTCCCGCTCTGTGCGGGGTCTGGGGAAGGGTGTCAGTGACAAGCCTTACCCTCGCCTGTGCAATGAGAGGAGACCGCAACTCGAACCCGGGACCTTCCGATCACAGGCGGTAAGACTCTACCGTTTGCCCCAGGCCCGCCCTTCTTCATACACATACCTAGCAGAAAATAAAACTCATGTGGCTAGTAAACTTGAAAAACAACCCTGACCAATCATTAAATTCCAAGCATTTTAAGTATGCTACCAGCTTCTCCTCTCGCTCTTATTCTTGAGCCATTGAGTGTGCTTGTTTCTTTGATCCTCCATATTATAGTGTTGAAGTAACATGAGTAGTTGAGTACACAAATGTGTGGGTCTGCATTATATGTAATACACGACATGTTTACAAAGCAAATCTCACAAATTGCCAGTTCTTCTTTTTAACCTCGGAATAATTTAGCAAATGACATATTGGGGTGATGCTTGTTCAAACGTTCTCATCTTTTCTTCAGAAAAAGAACACTTGTGACTACAGTTTGCGAATTCTACTTAAAAATCCTGACAGTGAATCCTTGGTATCTGATACATCTGAATAAATTTCCATAATTTCAAATCTCAATATGATTTCCTTGCTAATACTGTACACCATATTCAGCTGCTTTACCTTCATTTGCTATGTACTTAAATTTTTTTGTACTTATTTTGTTTTCCTTTCTAGGCCCTACTTACTGATGCAATATTTGATGCCATTTAGATTGTGACATTTGATTCATATGGAGTATCAGGGCACCCAAACCACAAAGATCTTCATCACGGCATATGGTTAGTTCAGTTATCTGGTTTAACACTGCATGAATTGCTGAAAACATTGGGATTCCAATATGTTGGGAATCAGAACTGTTGTTGTTCTTTGATTGTACACAACTTGTTCTCATTTCATTTACTTTTGCATTTTTTACTACACATATGCATGTCACATTTATGAGATAGTTTTGTATTTTTATCACTCAGAGTCTAAAAAACTCTATTTCTATATGAACAGCAAGTTTCTCCATGCAAACAGGCAAGGAAACGTTGAAGCTTGGGAACTAGTAAGTTTTTCCCTTAAATCCTTTGACAACCTTCTTTAGATTTACTTCTCAGAGTGATTTTCACTGTAGAGAGGAAGATAATATGTGTTACTTTCTTGACTTTGTCAGTGCTATATTTAGCAAAAGCTACGGATCTCACTTCGGTCGCAAAAGTGGTTTCTTTAGATAGTACAACAGCATGTGTTCCACCGTTGTAGCGGTGCCTTGTGCTAGTGCTCACCCCATTGCTAGGTGGACACCCCGTTCGGCTGACCAAGAAGCCGGCTTGTTCGGCCTCTTTTTTCAGCCAGAACAGTGTTTTTCGCTCACGACATTTCAGCCGGAAACAGTGTTTTCAGCATGAACAGTGTATTTTCATACCAACCGAACGGGCCGATCTTCTTAATGAAACACGTGCTAAGCACGTCCCCGAAAAAAAAAGTCAGAAACTGATAATCTATAATGTTACATCATACGTTTGCCATCTCTATTGGGGTGATGACCTAGTATTTTTAATATTATTTTTTTCAGAGACTTTGGCACTAGAGTCTTACCGCCTGTGACCGGAAGGTCCCGTGTTCGAGTCGCGGTCTCCTCACATTGCACAGGCGAGGGTAAGGCTTGCCACTGACACCCTTCCTTAGACCCCGCAAAGAGCGGGAGCTCTCTGCACTAGGTACGCCCTTAGAGATTTTGGCACTAGGATAATTAACGTCCTAGTTGATTTTTACATGGGAAAATTAAGCTGTTGCGTTCTTAATTCTTATGCTATATGGATACTGGATAAAGACAAAGCTAGTGACTTTACTATTTAACATCATTTCTGTATTGCTAAACTTCCTGGCCACCTTATCTTTAGTTTACCCTCTCATTTTTCTTTTGGTCTTGATTGTATCATGTTTTTTCTTCTTGCTGGAAGTAGCACATTAGTGTGGAGGAAAGACGATCCATGCTGGATTATTTGTAAATGCAGGCAAGCCTGAATATTCTTCGCAAGTACAGTGGTCCGGTTGACATATGGCTTTCTTCGTTGATATCCTTCTCAAGGTCAAAGCAATCAATCTATACTCTAGTTAACAGTAGACCGTCCAAAAGCTATGAGGCAATGGCTGCACACAGAAGTCAGTGGGTTTGGTAAGTATAAGAGTTTCATATTTGCATTTTCATGGAGAAAGCATTGTTTCTGTCAACTTTAATAGAGTGCTGGAGATCAATCCACGTAGCCACTATAAGTTCATATTGAAGTTTCTGATAGTGTCATATTTATATCGTTGCACACAGTATATAATGGCCAACATATAATGAGTCAGCGACTTGCTAATTGCTGCCAATACAGTATATCATCAAGATGGCATCTATCAATACCTTTTAGTTGTATCAGGAAACAATATGGGCTATGTTTAACTCAGCAGTTACGGAATGTGTTTTTTTTTTCTCAAATATAGGGAAGCTCTTTTTTGAATTAAAGATAATCAACATATTCCATGTGTCTTCGCAGGTTTAGAAGATTGTATGTCATCTTCTCGAGCTATATGTATGTAAATGTGCTACAGAAAATTTAACATGTGATCTAATGTCATGTCAAAGCTGTCCGCCATTCTCGTCTCCACTGTCGTACCTATACATTGTCAATTGTATGTATCAAGGGATTCAGTTGTACATTTTCTGTCCATAGCCAGTGCTCATAGGGTGACAGTAGGACTTATTCCCAATTTTGTAGTACTACAGAATTTGTAAGTTCTTGGCACTGGAGTATGCTCAGTAGCTTATGGGTGTGGTCAAACGATTTCTGGTTCAAGTTTGATGTCCTTAATGAACTGATCTGCTAATCCTTTTGTACTACCTGCCACTAACAGAATCCTTGAAAAAATAATCACATACCCGTTCGCTGGAGGCCAGTTCACAAATCATTAAGAATCAAGGGCCTATAGGAAAGACTCCCCGTTTGAAAATGCAGACCCCAATGCGATGAGTTGAACGATCCAAATAAGTACACGATAAATCTTCTTCCTTGTCTCCCCACTACGGGAGTGTTTGGTTGCTAGGCTACCCTGTTCAAGCTTTACGATGTAACTTTTAAGTGTTTGGTGGCCTTGTCAAGGCTCGTATCCAGTGCATGAACACCCCTTAGCCAGGCTTCGCAAAAGTGTGGTGCGTGACTGTTTTCATGGAGCCAAGCTTGGCTAGTGTTTGCCTCACCTCCTGACTCAGGTCCTTGCTGCCTCACCTCCTGCCCTTGGATCTCTGCACCTGCATCTCCCACACCTCCGAGCACCGTGCCAAGCTCCAAGAGCACCCCCGCTGCTGTTGGGCGACTGTTTTCACAGAGGAGCATGCTTGTGACAGTGGCAGTTTGACATCTGTGCTCGTCACATGTTCGTTAAAATGTCTCCAAGGTAAGCTTACCAACGCAAGGATAGGGTGATTCTATGCAAGACAAACAAGGTAACTAAACATATAATTTCTTATGAATGCTAAGCTAGTCAATGCAACCAAACAAGTGTATCTTGCATTGCCGAAGTCAGTCTTTAGCTATCAAGGCTTAGTTGACTAGCCAGGCTAAGTCTTAAACATGAACCAAGCACATGCTATGTGGTTTTCCTCTGTCCTCATCCCACAGTTGTTATTAGGATCTAGAAATATGCTAGAGGGAAGTGAGTAGCCAGATGCCCACTAAAACCAAAGACACTAAGTAATTTTGATTAGAAACATAAATGACCCTAATAATGTTATTTCTAGCTAGAGATTTGCTTTCTAAGATGACAAGTGCAAGCAAAACAATTCTAGGAATGTAAACAACACAATGTAGGTACTAGAATTGATAGTGAGCTTCAAGAGATACCACACAAAATAACACAAGGTATATCTTCATGGTATTGGTGACTTACCGGTCACCCCTAGTCCATGTTGAGGTGAGCTCTTGGTACATCACTCCTCTATCAAGCTTCCAACCCACAAAGGTTGTCTAGGTGCCTTGAGCACTTGATCTCGAGTAGAATAGAACAAGAAGAAGATACTCAATACCTCTTTTAAACTAGAGTCGCTCTTTGCCTTCTCCCACAATAGCCCCTCACAAATCCTCCTCCGGAGCACCAACACAATCTTCCTTATGTTTCACAGAGTCTGCAAGCTCGAGGTTGTCTAGGCGGCGGCAACCACCAAAAGTAACAAGAAAATTGCTTCCAATATGAAATAACTCAATGCTTTGCACTAGAATCCTGATCTCACACTCAACTGATGAAATCCAAAACAAGTATGTGAGTGAAGTGACTTAGAGTATACTCAAGTGATGATATATTACGATCTTTATAAAAAATGTAACCTGTTGATACGCTTGATAAATGGCAGTCGAGGGAAATGAAAAATTCCAATGGCACTCAAGGAACTCATATAAATTTAGTGGCATTGAGGGAATTATCTCAATTAAATGGAGCCTAGAGTGACCACCCAGAAAAACAGTGCAACCACAAGACTACATGGGCAATGGTCTTGATTAAGTAATTATATTTCTCTGGTTTGTCAGTAGCTTATCGAAAGATGCAAGAGAGAGACTGTGATGTAGTGATACTTGTTACTTGGTCCGTGAAAGGTGTTTTATTTGTTTGATCTTTGTCTCCTCTTGGGGGAGGGTTCACTCACGCAAATGAAGTGAAACTAAAGAGAGGGGATAAGAAAATGAGGTGAAATCAACGTATGGGCAAAATTGCCACTTTAGGTCTGATATTTGGCCAAAAAAGATTAAGTGAGTTAAAATCATGAAAAGGCATTTTAGTGGATGTGTATTGTTTCATAAGGGCAACCTGACAAAACCCACAAATTTGATGACATTTTGGCAATGGCACTCTTCAGCAGTACTTTTCAGCGAACGAACAGTGTTTTTCTCTCACAACAAATCAGCATAAGCATCAGCTAAATTTCAGCGAAACGAACAGGGCCGATCCACTTGCCATAGGTGCAAATTTTCAGTTCTCATTTGTTTTTGTGAAGTTGTCTTGAATTCTTTATCCCTGTGACATAAGACATGTGGGGTATTGTCAAAGCACACGTGTGCAATCGTCTATCAGGAACTATAAGGGAAACTTTGGCTTTAATGTAAGCCGCTTGTTCACGTGTCTAGTTTAGAGGCTGTACAATTACAACTGTTTACGATGATGTTAGAAAAGGAACAAGACGGTACGCACTAAACGATCTGGTTTCAAGTTGCAATGATGGAGACGATTTTCATTCAATCTTTGTTCTTGTCTCTTTACATTTACACACTAACCTAACCCTAGAGATGGGATGGACTTTCTTATCCTTGTAGCGACCTGGCAATTGACCATAATATCAGGGACAACCGGAACATGGCATTTGGAATGAACTGTTAGCATTTTGCTCTTCCAAAAGATGCCAAGGTCTCAAGGTTGAACTAACCACGCGCCTCCAAGACTTCTCTTTGCGCAGTCTTTATCAATGTATGCAAGAAAGTAGAAGCATCGCAGCATGAAGGGTTGGTGACAGAGGCATGTGCCAGGAAAGGGAGTTTCCTCAATGAACGGCCACTAAGTCCCTGCAAAGAGAGATGAACCACCACCATTTAACGAGAACGAGAGATGGAGAAGCCTTGGTTACAGCAAACAGCACGTGGGTCAGCTACGTTATTTACCTCACACAGTTTTGCGGCTTCATAGAGTAGACTGGATAACTGAAACGCACCATAGGGTTCTGTAGCCTCAGGACAGTGCTTCTTCTCCTCCAGGGTCGAATAGTTCAGAATACATGGCACACTACTACCCTACAATTGGAGAATTTCAAGGTTACCAATAGTTGCAATAAATAAAATTGAAAAGCAAAGTGCTACCACTGAGATCAAGAAAAAAGATTTGCTCATAGTTCTGCATGATCAAAGCAACCATCATGAGCTCTGGTACGCTGATACAGTGACAGTAACGCCATGAAAAGTTGGCAAGTTGGGCACCAAATTGGCAAAGCAGGACGTACCTGAGGATATGTAAGAATGCCAACTCTTAAGAGTTCTTGTATGCATGACCTCAAGATCTCGTATCGTGCTTGAAGCATAGGGGTCCGACATATGCCTTAATGTCTGCCCTGTCAACAAATGCAATATCTGCCAGTAAACAGTAAGCATTAGGTAATTACAGAAGTCCTTATACAGAGTGTTCTCAGAAACAAACTGCAAGATCAAATCATGAGTGCCCATAAAAAAAACATGACTGTAGTCGATCCAAGAGAAAGAAATTCTACAGAGCACACATGATTTGTATTTTGATGGCAAGAAGATATTTATAAGTTAGCTATAATATTATTTTAATCATAAAAATTAGGAAAATTGCTTCCATGGAAATGGATAGTTCATCAACCCTAAAGAATAATATTATGTTTAGTGGTGTGACTGCAGAACTGCTTTCTCATAATAAAGGGATTCACTCAACCAACTAATAATGTGTGATTGTCAAGATGATCATTCATAGCCCCACGGTTAAAGAGTCAAATCTAGTACCTATTGCTGTAGTGATATTTGATGTTGTCAAAATGATAACATTTGGCCAAGACTTCAGTTTGTCCATTTGTGTTAGCAGCGCATTCACAACCTGAAGTTGCACAAGAGAAGAATATAGTGTAAACATTAGCCAAGAAATAATACATGATCAGGAAAAAAAAGTAGGATGAAAACTTTACTCTAATGGAGTCTGAAGGTTCAGAGCCAGATATGGCAGCTTGTCTGGCAGCAGCAAGGCTTTCAACTTCATCTACAATATATATACATATCATATATAAGATTGAGGTTTCAAATATATAGCATGCACCAAATCAAGTACTCTATTTTCTCAAGCCTTAGGTAGCACTCTATAGGACTACTGCTTGTGTTATGTACTTATGTGTTTGCTTGCTTCAACTAGGAGACAATGCTGAAGTTAAGTGAAACTGTGCTGGATTCAGGGTCCATGCGCCTATGCACATACAGGATGTGATCAGGGGGGTGGACTCATATCTAATTCAGACCAAGGTACCAAACAAAGCAGACTCATTCAGGGTCAGCTGTCACGACTCAAGAACATACCTATCAATACAAATACCAGGTTGCCTTCTTCCTCCACCATCTCCTGGATCTTTTGGAAAAGTTTGGCAACCTAAAGGACAATGGATAGAATGTGGATTGTCAGATGTAACTATGGGTGAGTAAGACAATATTTCCAGAATATAATTTGGATTTGTTGGCGAAAAAAGGAGAAGAAATAGGTTGTCATTCCATTACAATATCATCAAACAAGAGAAAGAGCTAATTTCCCGTTTTGGTATTTCAATTGAAATACCTTTTGTGGGTGTTTTATGTAGAAATACTGTTTTTCTTATTTTGACAATCACCGTACAGAAAAGATAAAAGTGGTTCAGGAACTATTAAATTAGGGAGCTCATGCAAAAAGGTGCAGCCATAAAAAAAACAAGTCCGATTAGACGCTAAATAGCTAAAGTGATCTCAGCATATGAACATATGATAACAGCTTAGCACAAAAAGGCATACCAATTTTCCACTTTCAGAAAACCACTTGCTGAACAACGAATGAGCATTCACTTCAATCAATTGACACATAGAATACCTAGTATATACAAGTGTCAGTGAAGAATAACACATCTGGTAAAAAAAGTATATCTCATTTAGCACAGACCTTGACTTGAAGCGAATGGAAAGTTTCTGTGCTAGTGCTTTACACAAGGAAGTCTTTCCTGTTCCAGGCGGACCATGCAAAAGTACAATCCTGTAATTTGTAAAAACTAAAAGCATGAAGAATCATTTCACTCTATAGAGTACACAATCTTTTACTTTGTTTTTTGTAAAACAAATAGTGACTGCAAATGTGTATAACAGTGTTATAGATGCTTACCGGTTCCATGAAACCAGACATGTATCCACACCTCTTTCAGTAAAAAGCAAAGCACTGGCAGCATATCTCAGCAACCTCTGCTTGAGACCAACTTCATATAGTAAACTGCAAACACTAATGAGATCATCCACAGAACAAAAATGGAGATTGAAGTGGTTAAGATAAACAGTATTTACCTTTCCCACAAACCATCAAATTCTTTGGCAGGTAAGGCCCACTCGTTAAAGCTAGAGAGCGTATCATCCTCGCTTGGTTCCTCACCAGGACCATCTTCACTCAGCTGCAGCATAGCCAAATGAGCTTGAGGTGAATAAACTGGACAGCAGCTAGTATATTGAATGGATACAAAATATGGAACGTTTTTTGTTTTGGAACGAAACCATTCCTCAGGATCAATATTAGGATGTAAAATGTCCCCAGAGAAAACAACTGTAACTTGAACTCAAAACAACAGCTAAAATTCAGCAGTGATGGAAGTATGTCCAGATAAAACAGCTATAGCATTTTACTGAGTGAAGAAGCAAGATAACCAACATGGTCACATGGAATCATAATGACATAAAACAAATGACATCAGTTTTGGATAGAACTGCAAGTGAGTAGGAAGTAAACGTAAAACATTAAGAATCTCATACCTGGAACACATGCACAACAGGCTTAACTTGCCAAAATAAGAGAACTTTGCGATTCTCAGCCCACTCGTCTGCTTAAATGTTTAGCACTCAGAATAAGGATGTTATGAGTAACAGAGCACAAGTAACCATAATTCCCAGCCTAAGTGAATAGCCATACCAGTGTCACATATTCGTATCCTTTTGACATTTTCAAGAAGAAAAGAATTATCAGCAGGAATTGGCACAGGCCCATCAACATAGCTTAAGCATCGAGCTTCTAGCATCCTGATTGAGCAAGTGAGTACAAAACTATAAGCATGAGCAACAGTAAATTTTAATATCTCATGAGAGAAGATGGCAGTTAGTGTGAAAAAGTTTAATAAAGCACTTAAGCTAGCATTAAAATGCAGAAAGTTTCTTCAGAAAACTATGTTAGGTCCATGGCTTTACACCACCAATTCACATGTTGATAAGAAAGAGACGAGCCTTTTGGCACTATTTTCTTAGCATACCACTACTAACAACAGGATTTAGAGAACACTTGATTTCTTTATAATTTCATTAAGCCAATGACTGTCTTATAAGCATTTCACAAGCCAATAATCTCCACCTAACCACTAATCAATCACAGGACTTAGAAATTGTATGACATTTTTTTCTTTCCAAATTTGCTCCTACTCCATAGTCTGGGCTCTGATTACTAATTTGTGAATGGCAATGGCAGGAGTGTGGATTACTGACATAGTACTAGTCTGGGCTCTGGGATCTGCTTCAGTGGCAAACTGGTGACTGGTGCCTGTGGTCTGCACTGCCCTCTGCAGCTGAACTGGTGACTGACTGACTGGTACCCAGTTGTTAGTACCAAACAAAACTTTGTAGACTATGTACAAACTGTCTAGTTGACATTTCTACTTCATATTAGCTATTTGTCAGGTGATTTGACTGTTTAGCATTTGGGTGCACACTGGGAACCTATTAGAAGATCTTGAAAACTCAGTCCTGATTTGCCACATTGTTTCATCTTTGCTTTCTGCCACTTCCTCCAGAAATACAAGTTACTTATCAGACATTCTAAGCATGGATCAGTGCAAAATAAGGCCGTCAACACTTAATTGCACATTTTTCAGAGCCCAAACCATCTCTAAACCAACTCACGTGCATTGCTCATACTACTCATCAAATCACAAAACAACGATAAGAGTATTTTTTCTGAACAAAGTCTAGCTAGATCAAGCACGAACCTCTCGACCGCCACCTGGACGTCCTCGTGGCGAGCCGCGCTCGCTGCGTGCAACAGTACACCTCAACTGCAGCAGGCACAAAATGAAAAATGGGAAACACACGAAATCGGCGTGTCAACAGCACTCGAATTCGAAATTGCTAGGATGATGCTAACGAGAGCGTCGCGGCGCCCACCTGACACGAGGACCTTGTCGTCGGCCGGGGAAGGAGCAACCACGGCCGCAGCCACAGCCGCCTGCTGCTGCGGCGGCGGCGAGGAGGAGACCGCGGCGACAGGGGGCAGCACCTGGGCGGCGGCAGGTGCCAGCAACGGGGCAACGGTGGTGGCACACGCGGCATCCGGAGGGGGTGGGGGCGCGGAGAAGGAGATCTCCATAGGGGCGCTCATGGTGAGCGGACCAAGCTGCACGCGCGAGATTTTTCTAGGGTTTTGGGGAAATTGCGGGGAGGAATGGGGAATCGAGGAGAGGTTGTGGACTGGGGAATGGAGGAGGTGATTTTGAGCGGATTTGGGGTTTCCCGCCCTTGAGAAGTCGTGAAGCGAGATGGGCTTGCGGGTGAAATAGGCGTTGGGTCGGTGGCTTCCGTGTATAGAATTATTATTGGGCTCGTTTCAAGACCGGCCGAAAATCCCCCAGTCTAGCCTGACCAAGAGGCCCTACCACATTCGGTGGCAACGAGTGCTTTTTTCAGCCAACGAACAATATTTGTCTCTCACAATAAATCAGCCAATGGTACTTTCAATCATGGCTTATTAGCCAAGTGAACAGAGCAATGGCTGTTGTTGTTAAAAAAAAAGGTATATGGCTACTAAAAAAAGGCTTATGTACGGATTTCAGTGTTTTCTGTTTTAGAAACCAGAGACAAATTGCTGAGGTTTGGCAAGCCGAGAGGCTAGCGCCCAGATGTCCCGATGTCGTGCCTGTTGCCCGTCTGTTTTCAATAATAATACCCTCAAGCACTGCAACATATGCAACATTTAGATAAAACATTCGTCTCGTGCTCCGCGCCTACCGCCTGCCCATGGATGCTTCGTGCTCCGCTTTCGTTTCGTGCTCCGCGCCTGCTGCCACGTCCATGAATACAACTTTGTACTCCGCGCCTACTATCGTGCTCGCTTCGCTTTCTGGGCGCACGCAGGGACCACTGCGCCCGAGGGGACCACCTTCGCCTGCGCCCCCTTGCCATGTCTGCTCATGAAACACTTGCAATATAAAAGCATTTGCTGCAGTATATATCCGAAACAGATGAAACATTTATAATATACGTTGGTAACATATGTGTATGGCCGCTGCAACATATGCAACATCCAGATAAAACACTTGCAACATACGTTTGAAAACAACTGAAATATTTGAAACATACACTTGCAACATACGTGTATAGTCATTGCAATATATGCAACACTAGATCTACTTTTGTAACATCAAGATGAAACAACATGAAATATACGATTGCAACATGTGCTCATCTACTTGCTGCCCCCAATGGACGCTCGTTGACGCAGAGCTTGACGCCAACACGGAGCTCGATGCCACGCAGCGCGAGTCCGGGCGGGAGGTGCGGCGGAGCGCAGTGCTGGACGCAAGCGACGCGAGGCGAGAGTAGGAGCGCGCGAGGCACGAGGCACAAGGCGTGGGGGCAGGCGGGTCTGTCTCGTTCGACTGGACAGACGCTGTAGACAGAGTTACCATTTGGCAAGAAGCCTACAAAATCGGAATCCAAAAGATTTAAACCCTACTTTTACATAAGTGCAATGTGAACAGATGTACTTCATTTCTAAATTTAATTTGTTTGCTTCTAGTTTTATACGATCTCTCATGCTTTAGTCGTTTTTAAGAGCTTCTCTTCATTAACTGAAAGTCGGAAAGTTATATAATAATAAATAATAATAATAATAAGATGTGCTGCAATAGTGGAATGGTGCTACATAATAAATAATAATAATAATAAGATGTGCTGCAATAGTGGACTGGTGCTACACGGCACATGCCGCCCCAACACTGGTCTGAACTCCACGGCACACCATACAGCTGACAGCTCTTTCATTTGGCATGAACATATTATTATTAATTAATACTTCTCTGTTTGGGCGGAGAAAAAGGATATATACGACAACCCTACTATTTCCTCGCGATTTTGCAAGGAGGATCATGTTTTGAGCATCTCTATCGTGACAATGTTGCTCTAGCAATCTTGTGGGATCATGCTATGCGTCGCCGTGTGCGCCCCTTCCATCCAACCATCCCTGTCCTGCGCAAGTCGGCGACACAGGGGGCGACCCCGACCACCGTCGTGTCCCGTGTGGATATTCCCAAACCGTGCCACGGCAGTCCTGGAACATTCCCGCCAAGCCCTGGCAGAGAGTCTATACAGCTACGTATATACAACTCCATAAAGCTCCTAGCATCCGCGCGACGAGAGCGATTTGAGTACTGTTTAGCTACTGTTCGCCAATCGCCCGTAGCCACGTGGACTCGTGCGTGTGTAGGCATCGGTTTCGCCTCTCCGGATTAATTGAGCCTCTCTTCCTTCACTGCTTTCGCCCTCGCTCTCTCCGTCAAAGTAGTATAAAAACACTCACAGCCAGCCAGCGTGCCTCGCCGCCTCCGTCCATGTTCCTTCCTCTTCCTCTCCCTCTCCCGTAGATGCGACGCTTCCTCTCCCCGGCGGGCGGCGCGGATGCCGTCGCGGCGTCCTTGCTTGACGGATCTCGCGCGCATGGACCGCTTCATTCATCGCCTCTTCCTCTCCACCGGCGGCGGCGGCGGCCAGCCTTGCCTAGGGTTGCGCGCCGCACCAGGACGGAGAGGCGGCGACGGACACTGATACGACGTCCTTGCTTGATGGAGCCTGCGGGCATGGACCACTGTCGGGGACCTAATACCGGGGTACCCCAGAAGGTGAAACCAATAACCATCGAACGTGAAAAACTTCTGGACGTATAAGGGCGCGTTTCATCCCTTGTTCGAGCGGCAGAGTTCGGTTCCACCTCGCCCGACGCCTTTGTGGGATAACTCTACCTCGCCCGAGGCTCTCGGGTTAATCTCCGTCTCGCCCGAGGGCCGAGGGATGAACTCTGTCTCGCCCGACGCCTTTAGGGCAGGCTCGGTGTCGCCCGAGGGCCGAGGGATAGAATCCGCCTCGCCCGAAGAAGAAGGAGGTCGGTCTCGCTCGCCGGAGATATGAATTGGTCTCCGTTTACGCCCGACAAACAACGAAATCGAGTCTCACCTGCTACATATCTAAAGATTGGATTCGTCTTACCTGACAACTTCTCTCCATTCCCTCAAGATGATAAGTACAGGGCAAGACAAGATGTTTGGGTCAACCATGGCTCCAAGGACCATACCTGCGCTACTGGCAGAAAAAAATCTTGCCGGGGGTGACAGACAGTCACGTTAGACCCTTCCGGCGCCCTTGAGCTCGAAAGGTTATGCAGTGCGTGCTCCTCGCCTCAGAGAGTTGTAGGCGCCGCCTTCACCACAGGACACGGACCCCGACGAAGATATCGACAATCGCTACGCTCCGAAAAAGAATTAATATCTCCACGCACGACGGACTTTCCGTCACCACGCTATGGACCCGAGGGAGCGGCACCCGCTTCCCGACCCTCAGTCCACCAAGTCGAAGGCCTTGACCACGTCGTCGCTCCCCGACCCCGACCCTCGTCCCTCCTCGACAAAGACTCACAGGAACCCGGAAGGCGTGCGAGCAAAGTGAGAGAGGCCGATAAGTCAAAACCACTGTACCATAGCCCACATCCTGCGTAGGGCAGCATTCTATAATCAACCTGACATTCTACAGAAACATCAACAGTATTGTAGGCGCTTATCTTCATTCATACTTATCAAAATGAAGAACGAAGTCAAGTAGACGTGAGCCACAAGGCTAAGTAGCATATACATCCTAAAAACTCGCCCTTGTAAAAGCGCCCCCTTACTCTATAAAAGGGGATGCGCTTCCCCCATCAGGGGGGACTCTAGAGACCGAACAATACGACAGACAGATACACACAGTCAAGTGGTCTCGAACCTCTTGACATCCCTTCAACCCCTCCATCTGAGACTTGGGACCAGTCCCTCTCTCGATCGTTTGTACCCCTTACTACAAACCGTTCACGGTGCTAATAACACGAAAGCGAAGAACAAACCGGGCGTAGGGACTTTCTGCCCGAACCAGTATAAATCTTGTGTCCTTTAGCGCACCATCTGAGCCTAACGCGCATTACTATAAATTTACTTGCCGGTGCTTGTACGAAACATCGACAGTTGACACGCCAGGTAGGGGCCTTTGCGTGTTCCAAATCAGGCCTCGGATGGCCACCCACGCAATCATCTGGGCCCCGGGCGCACACGTGCGTTTCGGCGGCCTAGATTTCATCATCACACTAGGAGGAGAGCTGGCGCTAACTCACACAGCCGCCCCGTCTCTCCCTTCCATCAACCTCACCGTCTTAGGCTTGAGGGCCCACCGGCAACTCCCTTGGACCCCAGTCATCAAGTGAGGTCTCGCTGGCGTCACCACAATGTCCGAAAGGTCCCAGTCAGAGCGCCTCGACAGCGGCGTTTCCATTTGGTCTCCGCACGCGCTGCGCATCACCGCCACCTTCCTCGGCGCCACGAATGGTTCATCACCCACGGACATCGAGTTTGTGGGGCGATCGAGCATGATCTGAAGACCTCTCTGGGCTCCTCAACGAGGAGCCGGGATCGTCTCCAGCTCGGATTCTAGTAGGGGAGCCACCACCCTTCACAGGAATGCTTCATGACGCAGAGACCGAGGGTCGGTCGAAAGTGCCTCTAGGGAAGAGGTCACTCCTACAAACAACCCCGACAAAGCAGATCCGGGAAGAGACGACAGCCCATCTCGCCTAAGGATGGAGCAAACAAGGCCCATCGCCAGGAGATCGATGAGGCCGGGCAAGGGCTTGTCCGAGAGTACGCGACATCAATCGCGAGATTGAACGCCGCAAAAGACGGGCGCGCGACGCGCCATGCTCTATACTGCGTACACCAAAGGATCCTCACCGACGATGGGACCCTTCCTCACTTCGCCCGAGCCAGCCAGAACATCTCCGCAGCAACCGCCTTGCTGCATGGCCTCCCGGAGGCCACGACGGCTGAAGATCGCCAGGCCCATAGGGAGATTCGCCGTGACGTTGTTTGAGAGGCTGCCAGCGGCGTGAAGCGGAAAGTTTCGTTGTCTCGACGATGCGAACCCGACACCACCCAGCCGCCCTTCGCTCTCGATCGTCCCACCGAGGACACGACCGTTCACCAAACCCGCCCACCGACAGGCAGACCCTCCGCCGTCCCAAAGACATCAACGCTCGGCCATGGCGCGGCGACGTCTGTGACATCATCGACGCTCGGA